TTTCGAGGGCATCTAGTCGGGTCGCAATCTTTCCGAAGAGTTGTCGTCTTCCTTCCGAACTCACTCTGCCAGCCACCCAATTGTTTTGTATTCGTTTGCATTTCAAACACCAATCTCATTCTTCGGTTTCCTTGAGCCCGGAACTGCACGTCGGTTCCCCCTTGTCGATACCCATGCGGTACTTGTTGTAGACGACTTCATTTTCCAAACTCCGAGTTAGTTCGTACTTTCCTGAAGATAAATCACCTCTTCCTCGATTCTACAACAGCGAGCTCGTTCGCACTCTGCCAGAGGACTGCTGTCTTTCCTATCCTTCACCCGATTGTTGTGACTTCGTGTGCATTTCGAACACCTATCTCTTATGTCCTTTTTGTCCTCCATTTCGTTAAGTCCGAGTTAGTTCGCACTTCGCTTCTGTAGTGGTCTGGGGTTGGGCGTATTAGTCATCTGAGTTGGTCTGAGGTTGGGCGTGCTAGTCAACGGGTGGGACTATAATGGCGTCCGCAAAGAGCACATCCACAAGCGCTGGACCATCTGCCCCCGGGGAGGGACGACCTCTACAGCAATCTACTCCTCAGTATATGCACGCAATCGGAGCACAATGGTTTTTGGACTTCGTTATTCAGGGGGACCTTTTTGGGCCAGCTGTTTTCATGCGACCCACTTGCGTTCCAGACGCGGAGGGAGCGGACAACATTCTTCCTCTCGGTACCATCGTCGCGTGCGCCAAGACTCCTGGAGGTTTGCTCAAGCTGCACACTAACGGCTTGTACGACGAGTGCAGACTGCCTCTCAGAGGTGTTAAAGGTGTGCTGGTGACCATCAAGAGTTTCGCGGGGTACGGCTGGAACATGACGTTGTGCTCTCATTTCAAAGGTCTTTACGATGGCGGCAGCAAGCGTCTTCTATCGCCAGAGCAATATCTGGATCTCGCGCTGATGGTGCCGAAAGAACGTTCGGTTCTTCCACGAGAACATGTTTTTCGGCTTCTGCCACCCCATGAGGGGTCGTCCGGCTTGGCTCAAGAAACTCCAGGTGCGGCAGTGGGGCGCGGGAGTCCGATTCAAGACGCTGGGGGTCGGGTCAAGGGGCGCGCGCGCAGCGTTCACACGCAGGTCGGCCCGGATGCTCCAGGGAACACGTCGGACTTGCATTCTCAGGGTACAGGGACTCAACGGGTCAGTACTCCGAAACTCATCAAGGTCCGCTGCGGCGGCGACACGTATTCACTTCGAGATGAGACGAGAAGAGAATCTGGCAGATCGGGGCAAGATATCGGAGGGAATGAGGCTGAAGGGATGGGCGCTGTCCGCGAAAGCTCGGGCGGGGAGCAAACTCCTTCGGAGAAGAAGCGCGAGCGGCAGAGGATGGTGCAAGAGGAGGTGGCGGAAGGAACCCTCCGCATGAAGAGGATGAGAGGAAAATCGGAGGTGGTGATGGGCGGGGATGGAGGTGACGTCGGAGAACGTGCCTTGGGAAAGAGGCCGCCGAAGGAAGAGGGTGGGACGGCAAGTAAGAAAGCGAGGAGGCCCGACGGTTCGACCATCCGCGAAGGACAAGCTGTGGGTGGAGGAGATTCGCCTGATCCAGGCGCTGCGGCCGCGAGAGAACCTTCGGGGAAATCGAAACAGAAAGTGGCAGCTGAAGAAGGCGATGGCCAGAAGAAACCTCGAAGGCAGAAGACTGCTGAGGCGGTGAGCGGGGGCGAACGGCTTGTCGGTGAGGAGTGCGACGAAGCGGCAGCGTTCTGGCTCGAATACGAGCGGAACGATGGCAGTGAAATCGTGGAGAAGGAGCTCCCCGTCCAACTGCTCATCGACCCCAGGAAGGTCTGCGACGTCCCGTCTTGGGAAAGATATTACAACCACCGCAGTCTAAATCGCGAAACTGTAGACGACATCAAGGCTGCGATGCTGAGTCAATTCCACGACAAAAAGGGGAAGATCTGGACGAAAAACCCTTTGGTTCTGGCACCCATCTACAAGCCGGTGACGCGTAGGCCAGAGAAAGTTGACATGGTTCACAAAGATGTCTTCAAGCCAGAGGACAAGGACAAGTACTACTATTACCCTGTTAACGGTCAACACACCGTGGCTGCTGTGAAGGAGTTGGAGGGTGAGCCAATATTCGATTTGTGGAATATGCACTCGTGGCCGGCAAGAGTAGTGTGGTTCTCCGATCGAGATTTCGCGGGCTATAGGCAGGTCAGTCTCAACGAGAACACGAGACACAAGATGTCTAAGCAGCGATCGCAGAAGGCCGCGTTCTTGGACATGCGGGAGGCATGGGAGAAAGAAGGAAGGCCGATGGCCATTCAAGGGAACCCTTCCGACAAGGAGACCGAAAAACGAAAGTTTTTTGAATTCCAAAAGCTGATTTTGGGAAAGAGTCCGAACGAATCTCACTGGGTGTTGGCAGAAAAAGATTTGTCGCTCGCCGACAAGGAGTATGTCGTTGCCGTTGGTGATGCATTGAGGCAGTGGATGCCGCTCGTGACGGCCGGTGATGACGTTTTCCGCAAAGCCATGGAGTTCTACGCGAAATGGGCGGAGGGGAAGTTGTTGGGCGGCGACGGCAAGACGCCATTGTTGAGGCCGGGCGAATACATGCCAGACAAATCTCCGGGTCTGCAAGCAATTACGGAAATGGGCTCGAAAGGGGCGGCTGGTGAAACGAAGATGGGGTGGCTGGTCCGGGTCCCGCCGCCTCCGACCAAAAAGAAAACGCAAGCGGACGACAAGTTTTTTGTGGTCGTGAAGGAGCCAGACATGTTCTGTTGGCAGTGTCTCGCCGACATGACCAATGTCGAGAAACTGTCGATCCTTGACGACATTCTCGCGCTAAGGGGAGTGTTCGTGCAATCCGCAGGCGGCCATCTGAAGCGTCAGCATAAACCTGGAATTAAAGACATGGTCGCGACGAGGAAAGTGGACCGTGTGATGCTCCGTATGTTCCACTACATCTTGTTCCTTGAAACAGAGGAGGACGAACGTGTTTGGCGCCAGGGGAGCCCTTTTTTTCGGACCGAGGGGAAGCTTCTGGAGGAGTTCGGGCCGCAGGGCCTCACGAAACAAGTGTGGGTCGAAATGCGAAAGCATTTCCAGGGTGTGGTGGAGTACGTGAACACTTGCAAACATACTCTTCCGCACGAGAAGGAGTCCATCGACGACGCGAAGAGATTGTACGATGGTAACAGGTTCCTTAAATCTTTTGAAAAGTCTGTTCGTTCCATCTTGCGACGGACGGAAGAAGAAGTTCGAGACACGATCAGGGTCAGCGGGGATGTGAGGCACATCAAATGGCCCGACCATAATCGGGTGACCTGCCTTATTCCTTTCACTTTCCCGCGTTCCCAAGCTCATAGTCATGTCACTGCGATCCGTGAGGTTGTGCGACATTACGTGTGCAACCTGTACGTCCTCAATTTGTGTGATCCCACACTCCTCACAGACTGGCGAGAAGACGATTTCACGAACTTGCAAGGCGTTCTCCAAACACTTTCGCCAACGCACTGGGCACTTGTGGTCTTTTTCCCCTCTCGTTGGGAGCTCAGTTTCTTGAAAGGCATGGTCAGGCTTAGCGTCCATCACATCAGGACAAGGAAGTGGGTGCGCAATGCACAAAAGCAGGTCACTGTCCGGGAAGACAATATGGTGGTCGAGGAGTGTGACCGCCTGTACGTGATTTTTAATGGCGAAAGTTGGAAGACAACACATTCGCAGTCTACCTGGCCAGTAGCCCGACAAAGCCTTCCCGTGCTCATGGTCCAAGTCCGGCCAAACACACGGTGGCGGCCCGCTCGAAAGCTGTGTGTTCGTCGGACCCGTCAGGACAGGTTGTGGCGTGTTTCAACGTGGCGGAAGAGGAAAGGTTCTCTCGTAGCATGTGGGAGGACGGCAGCGTGACAAGTTCTCAAGGACTTGCTTACGGGGAGATGGAGCGGAACCCGTCCCGTCTACTTGGTCTACTCGAAAACTTTTGCAAAGCGGGGCAAACTGTTTTTTTTTTTGGGAAGGCGCATGCGTCGATCGTGTGGGAACTCCTCCGCACCGGTCGAAACGTCGTCGCGTTGGAGAAGGAGGCGAGGATGATCGATTACCTTCACGAGTTCGTGAAGGCACGCGTTGTAGACACTCGCAATGCTTGCGAATTTGTCCACACCACCGGCGAACGAAACTGGGATTTTAAACGTGACATGTATTGGAAAATGTCGTGGAACAAAAAGATGGAGGTTTGAGACTTCCTTTTCCAACCTAGACCGCCTGGTCCGACCAACCTCGAATACAGTCGACGGAGAAACCTGGTGTTCGGTATGCTCAATGGGTACCACGATGCACCCAGGGAGTATGTCTCGCATTTCCTGAGAAGGCTGGAGCACGTTTACTTCACGCTGGCCAAACCGCTCACCTTCCTAAAAAACTACAAGTCACAGTTTGACGAGGAGGACCCTTTTGACGCTGAAGACATGGAGGAGCTGAGCGACTCGGAAACCTTCGATTTCGAGTCCATGCCACTTCCTCGGGTGGTTGGACAGGTAGGTGATGAAGAGGAAGGTGGCCCTTGGAGATATAGCACGTCCCCTGCCAGTTTGAAGCGTGTGTTTCGGGGCGAACCAGTCGACGACCAATCGTCTGATGACGGGGAGGAAGACAGAGACTATGATCACGAACCTTGTGACAGGCTCCCTGAGGACCACGACACCTGGCAGAATGACAGACTCTACTTCTTCAGCAAGCATCACTGGTTCACGGCGGAGGATGTCTGGGGACACAACGTCGTCTGCCACCCGAAGATATTCCAACCTGCTGTGAGGAATGGAATGTGGGTCATGGCAATGAAGGAGGCCGATGGCAAGTGGAGTGGACTGAAGAGACTGGGTGCCGGTGCATTTAAGAGAACGGCGAGAACTGCTCTGGTGGAGCATTTGAGTCTCATGAACCCCGAGAGGACCGACCCAGGCGTCGCTGCGTATGCAGAACAAAAGCTAAATGAGTTGTACGCCAACAACATGTTGGAGTTTCGAGTGCCTTTCTACACACTCAAAACGCCACCGTCTCGTGGCATTGACCGGCGCATGCCGCAACCTCCGTCGAGCGGTCAGCATCCAGGAGGGGGTGGAGGAGGAGACGAAGGAGACGGCGGAGGAGGTGGAGGAGACGACTCACAATTTGCCGGAAAGGGGACGGGCAAGACATCATCGGTAGAGAAGGCGTCCGGGGGAACGGGGTCAGGCGGAAAGGACTCGGGCGGAAAGGGGTCGGGCGGGAAGGGGTCGGGCGAAAAGCGTAGAACGTCCGCGAGTCCCCAGTATATGGAAACTGACCCTCACTGCGTAGGGAGTCGAGATTCCGACATGCGAGACAAGGCCACCCTGAGGTCTGATCAAGAGCGAGTAGATTCGCACTTGTCTGCGAGGACTTCGTTTCCCGTTGCCGAGGAGAGTCCATCCCGCCGTGCGCAGTAGAGGTCTCCTGTGCTCAACACCTTGCTCCTGAAAGAGGGCGCGTCTTCGTTTTGCCTGGAGGGCGGGATGCCTGCATTGCGAAGGAGCGAAGGTGCGACCTTCGGTTCCCTCGGCTCGGGCGACCGCTACAAACTCCGACTACATTCGGATTTGCTGACGTCGCCCTCCGCCATAAGTGCTCCTCACGCAATAGTTCTGCGGGGCCAAGAAAATGTCACGTCCTGCCCCCCACATCTTCAGGTGGACACAGGGTTGCCCTGCTCGCCTCCGTTCTCATGTGTTGAGACTCGAGACTGGCGGTCTCGCGACGTGCTGGAGGGGCCCGCTGCAGGAGTGTTGGAGACCAAGGGTAGCGAGCACGAACGTCACACTCCTGGGGAAGAGGAGCGCTCTCCGGGAACGCGTGCTGTACATCGGGAAGAGGAGACTCAACGCTGGCAGTCTCGCAAAGTGTTGGAGACCGAGGGTAGCGAGTGTGAACGTCATGCTTCGGAGGGTGCGTCCGTGGACACTGACAGCGAGAGTGCAGGAGCTCCGGGGGAAACGCATGCTCTACAACGGGGAGAGGAGACTCGACACAGGCCGGCTCGTGAAGACGTGAAGTGGTTCCACACACGAGCGCTGGTGATCGGGACGTCCGAAGAGGTTCTGCACAGTCGTTCGACTGTGGCCATGACGCGAGAGGGTGTCGTTAAGGGAGGTCAGTGGACGTTCGTGCAAGCTCCCGTTCTGGGCGACGATGAAGATGAAGAAGAACCCGCCGTGGAAGCTCGGGTTCATGGCGATGAGAAAGGCGGAGAACCCGTGGTGGAAGGCGGTGAGGTGACTGTCGACATCCGGACGGATCCACAGCGGAAAGATGGTGATTGTTCGCCCACCCGTTGCGGTGAAGAATAGGGTGGTCGACCGTTTGTCCTAAGCACCGCTCGGGGAATGGTGCTTCATGAAGCCATAGAGTTGGGTGATGACTCGGCAGCCACCGAGCTGGTTAGCGACTCAGGCGTGGCCGAGATGCAGAACGTCGAATCCTCCGTGGAAGGCGGTGAGGTGGCCGTCGGCATCAAGATGTTTCCAGAGCGGAAAGATCATGATTCTCCGTCCACCCGTTGCTGTGCCGAACAGGGTGATCGAGCATCTGTCCTCAGTACCGGTCGGGAAATGGTGCTTCATGAAGCCATCGACTTGCCAAGCGACTCAGCTGCCACCGAGCTGGTTAGCGACACAGCCGTAGCCGAGGTCCAGAACCTCGAATCGTCCGTGGACGTTGGCGCAGTGGCGCGACAAGAGGGCGAGTTCCCTCAAAGGTAAGATTTATGAATAAGAGCACTCGCATATCTGTCACTAGCCAGCTCTGTGTTCGTCCAAATTGATGTCATGGGCTAATGTACCTATTACCACTTGTTAAAAAAAAGCTTGTGGGCTGTGGGTTGTTTTCTATGTTTTATAGGTGTGAGGTTGTTAATGTCCCTGCCCGTGAAGCCTTTAAAAATCGTGCGCGAGAAACGTCTTTCAGGGAGGTCATTGGCCGCTTTACCGAAGAAGTCGTCAAGTGTAGGGTTGTTTAAAAAGGTCCAGATGCCTCCGCTTTTCCAGAGAGTTGTCAGGGTTCTGAAGGCTTGTGGAATAGATAAGGAGAAAGGTCTGCGGAAACGTTTGGCTGCGTCTATTGAGAGCATTACTGCTTTGTCTGATGGGTCTGATGACGATGGCAAACGGGGTGTCTTGAAAGACTCGTGTCCTAAGTACATCGCGAAGGACACATTCAACAGTCGGGGATACAACTTTCTGAGAAAAGGGCAGACAGTTCTTAGCCATTCCGCCCCGGGGTTTGTGCTCACTCCTCACACTTGTTCGTGGGTGTTTGTGCAGCTGGGGCTACATCATGTTTTCGCGTTCCCTTGCCTACTGAGGAGCTTAGCGCCACGGACTTCAGAATGTTGCAGGATGTCTGCGGAGATTTCAGCAACGGCCATGAGGTGGTTTCCTCGGTTCGCAGAGGTCCCAGTTTGATTCCGTTGATCAGAAAAAGTCTTCAAACTCTTGTCCAGGGGGGATGGCTTTCCGACTAGGTGGTGGAGTCGTACTTGGCCTTGTTTGCCAATGCTGCCCTCCCTGGGGGTCCCTCTCTTTACATTTTCAGTCTCTTTTTCTATATCAAGCTCGTCGGTGGCGGCTATCGACATGAAAGGGTTGCGAAATGGAAAAAAGATGTGGATATTTTTTCGTACGGCATGGTCTTGATTCCTGTCCATAAAAATCGAGTGCATTGGACCCTATTATGTGTCCGAAAACAAGGTTTGGAGTACTACGACTCCCTCCTGCAAGACGATGGCAGTTTTTCTTCCGATGTGCTTGCGAACTTCACACAATACCTCCGTGACGAAGCGGTTTGTCGATATGGTCAACAAGCGAAACTGGATCCTTCAACAGTCGGACGGGTCGAGATGTGGTATTTTCATGCTCGCCTTCGCTTCTTTTCTTGCACGCGGCTATCCGCCACCATTTCAGATAGCCCAAAGCGACATTGCAAACATCAGGCTGAGGATTGCGGGGGACATACTCCAAGGCTCTGAATAATACCCCTGTTGTTAAAATACGCGTAGTTTTTTTTTCCAACGGCCATAAGCAGAAGTGTGAATCTATTCCCACTTGATCTAGCAGTCGGCCGGTTCAAGTTGTGCTTTTGTTTTGATGAGGTACCGGATTGTAGTGGACGTTTTGGTCAAGTACACGCTTAGGTGTCGATGTGAATATCCCAGTCTCGTGCTGTAGCAATTTTTTAAGGGTTCTTCGTTTCGTGGAACCTGTCATCTTTACTTGTAGCACTTTCGGCTGCGCCTTGCTGCCTTTGTTTGTTTGGGTTGTTCTCATTGCTTGCCGCGCAACATCAGCTAGAGGGTAGCAGCAGACGCTTACGTGAAGTAGAAGCTTAGATGTCGATGTAAATATCCCAGCAACGTGGTGCAGTTCCTTTTAAGCAGACGCTTACATATGGGATGTGAATATCCCAACTTTGTGCTCCTTTTGTTTATTTTCGGCCTGTTCTCCTTATGTCCTCTCAGACCGCGGCAGCACCGTGCTGCGTTTGTTCGTTTCAAGGTTGTGCGCCTCTGTTACTCATGTGAAAGATATCGGCGATTTATTCTTGGTCGCCAAATTGTTTCGTGCTTATCTCTTTCGTTCGCGAGACTTTGTGGTTTGAAAGCCCCTCTCCCCCGCCCCACCCCGACCACCCAGCTTTCATATGTTTTGGCTCGCCCTTGTTCTGCGTGTGCCGCCCCGTTTTACGGTTCACCCCCTCTGCTTGTCTCTATTGAATGTTGTCTGTTGGTTCCTTATGACAGTTGCGAACTTGTTCTCCATTTGGAAACCAATTGTCGCCAGAATGTATGTGTGCTTGAAGTTGTTTTACGGATTCAGCGGTGCACTAAATGATTAGAAATTCTGTTATCCCCGGAATACATCTCGTGCTTTCCACGGAATGTTGGTTGTTGTTTCCGTATGAGAAATGCGAACATATTTGCACTTTGGATGCTGTACATTTGTGATTAAATTGTTGGTTCCATATGAGAAATGACACCCAGCTTTCATATGTTTTGGCTCGCCTTTGTTCTGCGTGTGCCGCCCCGTTTTACGGTTCACCCCCTCTCCTTGTCTCCATTGAATGTTGTCTGTTGGTTCCTTATGATAGTTGCGAACTTGTTCTCCATTCAGAAACCAATTGTCGCCAGAATGTATGTGTGCTTGAAGTTGTTTTACGGATTCAGCCGTGCACTAAATGATTACCAATTTTGTTATCCCGGAAATACATTTCGTGCTCTCCACGGAATGTTGGTTGTTGTTTCCGTATGAGAAATGCGAACATATTCGCACTTTGGATGCCGTACATTTGTGATTGAACTGTTGGTTCCATATGAGAAATGAGAACATATTCGCACTTTGGCTCCATGTACTTTGTGATTTTTGGAAAGCCTCCGTGCACTTTGCAATGTGGGATTGTATGATATTTTGCGTTCAATGATTTTTTGAAACGTCTCTGTGTGCTTTATTATTTGCCCTTGAAAAAATTTTCTGCATTGAATGGTTTCTGAAAACTGTTCGTGTGCTGTGAGACTTCACCTTTGGAAAAACACTAGGCAACTTGAGATGTTTTCACCTCGATGTTTGCGATGTCTCTGTGTGCTTTGGAATTTGACTTGAGATGTTTTCATCTCGATGTTTGGGATGACAAGAGATACTTGTATGAATGGATATGAATCTTCTACATAGAAAGATTTGATGGCGTTTTCAACCTGTAATATACAAATGACAAGCCAATGTCCATATTAAATCGTTGCGCTGATGGACTGCGCAATTGCTTCTCCATCAAAGTGTGAGTTCAATCGCACTTCTAGTGTGAGCCCTGAGCAATTCCCTCGTATTTTGCTTCACGTCGAGGAGGGGATCGAACGCACCGCCGGTAAGCTCCTGCACATCATAAAACAAGAGCACTTCCCAATTGGAACATCGTCGGGTTCTTGCGATGTCGACTCCCACATGATGACTACACTGAACAGCAGTAGGATGACCGCTCCGCCTCTCCGATGTGGATCTAGCGATGGATTGCGTCAAATCTGCTCTCATAGATCCGCGTCGGGGATGGGGGATGGGATCCGACCGCAGTTTGCTTGTAAGGCATCATATGATGTGTCGATATAACCGACATCCAGAACTGCTTTGTGAGCATCTAGTGCTATGCCAATAAGTTTCAAACACGGCAGCAAAGTCCCCTAAGAGTGTTCTTTGTCGGGTCCTCACCTCATCGGCTCTCAAGATGACTACAACCAACAGCGGTAGGATGACAGGTCCTCCTATCCGATGTGGATCTCACGGTGGAGTGCGAAACTCCGCTCTCAAAGATCCACACCGGTTAGAAGGTCCTGCAAGCAGCTGCTGCTTGCTTGTAAGGCATCTTATGATGTGTCGATATGACCGACATCCAGAACTGCTTAGTGAGCATCTAGTGCTACGCCAATATGTTCCAAACACGGCAGCAAAGTCCCCTGACAGTGTTCTTTGTCGGGTCCTCACCTCGTCGACTCCCTCAAGATGACTACAGCTGACAGCGGTAGGATGGGAGGTCCACCTATCCGATGTGGATCTCGAGGTGGAGTGCGAAACTCTGTTCTCAAAGATCCACACCAGGTAGAAGGTCCTGCAAGCAGCTGCTGCTTGCTTGTAAGGCATCTTATGATTTGTCGATACAACCGACATCCATAACTGCTTGGTGAGCATCTAGTGCTACGCCAATAAGTTCCAAAAACACGGCAGCAAAGTTCACTGAGAGTTTTCTTTGTCGGGTCCTCACCTCATCGACTCCCTCAAGATAACTACAGCTAACAACGGTAGGATGGCAGGTCCACCTATCCGACGTGGATCTCACGGTGGAGTGCGAAACTCTGCTCTCAAAGATCCATACCAGGTAGAAGGTTCTGCAAGTAGCCGCTGCTTGCTTGTAAGGCATCTTATGATGTGTCGATATGACTGACATCTAGAACTGCTTGGTGAGCATCTAGTGTTACGCCAATATGTTCTGAACATGACCGCAAGGTCCCCTAAGAATGCTTTTAGCACTGGAGTCCTCTGACCGCCGACTGTTTGGCACTTCGTGAAGGTTGACACTTTTTGAAGGTGGTCTGCCACTTCTTAAAGGTGGTCAGTCACCAAACAGATCACGACCTGACATCAACCTCGATAAGTGCGAATTGACTCGCTGTTCAACTAGAGTCTCTCTCTCTCCCTCTTTCTTTCTTCTCTCTCTCTCTCTCTCTCTCTCTCTCTCTCTCTCTCTCTCTTTCTCTCTCTCTCTCTCTATCTATCTATCTATCTATCTATCTATTTATCTATCTATCTATCTATCTATCTATCTATCTATCTATCTCACTCTCTCTCTCTCACCCATCCGCAGATGGTCCTGCATCCTACTGACGCCAGACCATCGATGTTTGT